AGAAAAATAATTGTTTCTTCATATATGAATATATAAACTTTCTTTCAAAAAATTCAATGTTAAAAATGACTCTATGAAAGGTGTCGAAAGCTTCACTGTATTGTTTTTTCTGAAAAAAAATGATTGACGAACTTGTTTGCCATGTTATATCTTTATTCAATTATATTTCATCGAATAATATTAATATTTTAAGTATGAAAGAAAATAGACGCATTACAATGTTTTTGCCAATGTGAGTCATATTTAACAATTCCAGCATTTTCTTTTTCTTTCTGTAACATCTTGGAAAATATGACTCATATTCTCAATTCTTTCCTATTCTCATACATTTGTCCTTCGTTGACTTATTAGTGGATAAAAATCTATATAAAATACGGAGAAAATGAATAACAAAAAAATAATAACAACTAAACATGGAAGTTTATAAATAATTGTTATCTATTTCTGTTAATCTTAGTTCCAAAAACATAAACAAATTACATTATGTGCTTGTATATAGATAAAATAAAGTATATAATATCTTTCTTCACCTAAAATTTCACACGATAACATGATAAAATGCATTGTAATTAGATGTCTATATCTTAAATAGTATTTTATTTTTAATACTTGGTACGAACTTTTTTTTCTAGTACGCCTTATCATTTGACCTTACCTTATGAAATGAGTAACTTAGTATTTAGTCATATTTTATAACGTTGGGAATACGAAAAATATAATAATTGATTTATAGTTGGTCGGGGGGTAAATTCTCTTTATTCAATTAAAACATTTTCCTAACCACACACGAAGACAAAAGCAAGTGAATTAAATATAGTTTAAAAAAAACCGTACAAATTGTGCAAAAATAGTGCAAGAACATGTGTGATTTTAGAAAAGAAAAACAAACAAACAAATATTATTTATTTAGTCTCTTTGTCGTTATCCATTTTGTATCGATGAGGAGAAAAAGAAATTAGCACCCTTGATTATTTATAAAAAAAAAAACGAAGACAAAAGAAAAATCACCGGTGAGGCTCATTAATCCAAAGAAATCCTTGTTAACTTTCTGTTGATGTTGCTCCACCGCCTCCCGGTTCATATTGACGTCGAAAACAATCACCAACAGGAAAAAAATCCCATTTACGGCTTTGATACATTTCCCAAACATAACTTTCCTATTATATATATATATAATTATATTTATTCCATTTCAATCATATAACAAACCTGTCCAGTATGTTCTGTGTCAGGTTTATTTAAAAGATGCGTTAGAAAGAACATATAATTTGCAAAATTATGTTCTGCTGTTGTATGTGTCTTTAAATAAATAAATAAATCAATATTCTTTTCAAACAAATTTTGTTTTTCTTTCTTACTTCAAACCCATGCGGTTCTTTATCAAAATAATCTTGACCAATACCACAAATAAAACATTTTGACTAAAAATATCAATAATTATGATTAAATATAGAATGTTAAATTAATTACTTCAAGTGTTTCTTTAACTGAATCAAGCTGTTCTCGAAGATCACCAAATGCATCAATAATCAAACCTTGAATAATAGCAAGAAGAATAACGATAATAAAAAAGAAGAATGTTATATCAAAAATAATTCGATATAATTCAAGTGGATCTCCATTCGGAGATTCAAGTTCATCACCAATACCACCACCAGCTCGTATACCAGAATACAGATGAAATTTAAAACACTAGAAATTTAAAAGAATAATTTCTACTCCTTTTTTCTTTTTTTTTAAAAACTTACAGTAAACATATCTTTACAATTTTCTTCTTTTTCTTCATCTTCTTCTTTGGTATAAAATTTACGGAAGAAATTAAATGCAATAACTGTATAAAGATAAACAAGTACAGCCATTAACATAATTGTTAAAAGTAACTAAACAAAAAATTTCAAAAATAAAAAATCTTATCAATTTTGTTTGAATATATATTTTTACTTGTCGACCATTATGAGTAATTGATTTCAATATGGTACTTAATGCTTTAACACTTATTGCAACATCCAGTAAATGAATAGCAAAGACAAAATATGAAAAATTGCCAATAACGGAGAATATAAAGTAGAAGAATACATAGAGAAATGACTAAAAAAAAAGTAAAAGAGTTAATAAATTTTCCCTGTAAAATACTTACATTATCAGTAAAAATAACACCCCATTTCCAAACTTGATACCGTATATCAATAGATTGAATTCTAAAGAAATTTCTTGATTAAATATTTTTTTTATCTTGTTTTATACATACTTTCCCCATAAACCAGTTTCAACTGGTTTAACAATTTCAAATTTTCCAGGTGTGTCATTTTTTTCCATTCCCAAAAATCGACTTAATTCATCATAATCAAATTGATCGGAATATTTATTTCGAACTTTTTTCTTAACGAATTTATCCCAATATGAATCCGGAAATGATTTTGAACTTATAACAAGTTTATGCCATTCACGTGATAAATATGATAATATCCAAGAACTATTTTCACTCTGTTGATCAATTAACCAAGCACCTTCAAATTCTAATTTACGAGCAATTTCTTTTTCTCGTTTAAATATAACCAAAGGTACCTGAACGAAAAAGATTGTTTTATTGAAAAAAAATAAATTCAATTCATACTTTTAGTTTATAATAACTGATCATCATTAGAAATGCAATCGATGAATGTAAAAATGCACTTATTTGTAATAAATAAACCATATAGAAATTCTTCGGATCCATCATAATTACTTCATCCTCATCCTCATCAATACGTTCGATTGCATCCGGTGGAACTGACTCAGTTGCTGCTGCAGCTAATGGCATAGCCTATATTTTATATAATAATTTTTATTAAATTCATTGAAATAGTTTATCTTACTTTGTAGAAAAGCATTAGAAAATTAATTACAAAAGCAAGACAAAGAGCCATGAATTTTAATTGATGATAATTTCTTGCTACTAATGCCTAATTGTAAAGAAAATGAAATTCAATCTTCTTCGAATATTCTAGTTTTTTTCTTTATTTACCAAAGCTTTCTTTCCATAATCTTTTCTTGCTGGTGGTTCTGGTGGAATAAAATCGTCATCTTCTACTAGACCTGCTCCGTTTTGATTGATTATTGAAGGTTTTTGTTGATATTCAGCTTGAATATTAACCTTTTAGAAAACAATAAAATAATTTTTCTCAAATTATTCTTAATTTACTTGAAGTGCTTGTTTAGATTTTTCAATAACATTTGGTGACATATGTATTGTTGTTGTTAATTGTGGTTGATGTGGTACTGAAGCAGTTATTGAATGTTGATGTTGAGTATGTTGAGTTAATGGAATCATATGTGTTGAAGTAGTCACTGATGATGGTGTTGCTTGGCCAAGTGATGAATCAATATTATTGACAAATAAAGGTTTTTGATCGGAATCAAATGTTTGAACACTATCAAAATTAAGTATATTTATTGATTCCTCCATTGAAGATATTCTGAAATTTCCAAATGAAATTCAAACAGAAATCATCCATATAACTATTCTTACTTATTATTTGGTTCTGAATCAGAACTAAGACCAATACCAAATGCATTTATTGTTGGTGCTGATTCTTCAGCAGAACTAAATCCAGCTTGTGCAATATTAACTGATGCTAAATAAACAAATGATAATTCTATACATATTATATGAATGTTTAATAACTAACGTAAATGAAGATCACGTCGTTTTGTTGGTGGTGGTAAAGCAACTCTTTCTTGTTTTACTTCTGGTTGTTCTTCTCCAGCCATTAAATTCCAAATACAATACGTTAATGTTCTATTAAAAAGAAAAGAATAATTATCGTTCTCTATTTTGTATAAAATACAAGCTACACATTCATACAAGACAAATACATTGAAATTAAATAACAAACCGATGTTTTTTATGATTTAATAAATTATTCTTATCGATTTTTTTAATAAATCGTTTAAATAATCTTTCCAAATGATAATACCATCGTTTAGGCAAGAAATATTTCAGAATAAAAAAAACATGCAAACTGAAGAAAAATTTAACACAACAAAATCATGCATGAAACAATGTTTATTGACATACCTTAAAGCGTATATCAATATTATAAATAATAAACGCATAATGTAAATGAATAGAGAAAATAGACTTTTAATCATATCTTTAAAGGTCATTTGACGAAATTGATGATATCCATTACGTATTGTTGATGGACGAAGTAAATGAAATAGACCTTTGATACCAGACCAAATGTAAGATAGAGCTAATTTAACTGGTTCATTTGGTGGTGGTGGACTGCCTGTTTCATCATCAGAAAATGGAGCAGTTTGAGTTTGTTGATCATCTTCTTCACCACTAAGAGCAACGGCATGTTGCATCTAAATAATATTATTTTCAAACTCTATAGAACATAGAATTAAAACTGAGAACTTACTTCAAAAATCGTATCTTCACAGAAATTAATAAATTGTTCTAATTTTTCTTTATCATCTGTTTGATTAACATTAAAATGTAAAAATGCTTTTTTCGATTCCTAAATAAAGAAAACAAAATACGTATATTTATATATATATATTACATATGGGAA